AAAACAACCCTATTCTTCCTCACACTGAAAAAGCACATTTCTTCTTAAAAAAGATACCGCATATATGCTTTCCAGAACTCCATGAAAACATGATGTCATGAGGTTGAAATTCCAAAATGTAGTTGCCAATTACCAAAGACTTAAAAATTATATGATTGTGAAAAAGAAATTTGAACTCCCTCCACACCTGACCTCCACACTTGTCAGAACAGCAGATTAGAAAAAGTGATCAAATACATTAACGTAGTGACAAAACACAATTCCCATCTTCATAAAGTTCCTGATCTCCTTCATTTCCCCTATCCCTATCATTAAAGAAATTTGTATTTTACACAGCATCTAGAGAAGATAACAGAAACACCGTCATACTGATCCACAAACATATTGTGGGATTATAATCTTGCTTCAGTACAGCAAAATATCAGATGTGCTACTACCTCTACATAAAAAGAGACCTCAAAATGCAGACCTAACTTAAGCTCAGTAGTTCACTAGATTTCTTCATCTATGTTAGTTACTAATATTTACTGCATTGCAGAGAAGTGGGTATCCCCAAAAATCTTTGGATATTTTTGTGAAAAATTGTACTGCTGTAAACAGATGGAAGTGTTACATTTTTAAAGTGAAGAAAATATAAACATTTTAGGAATCATCTTCATGTTTTTATTTTTCTTTTTGTCTTAAGAGTTTGTTCAGGGTGCAGGAGTTTGTTTTCCAATTCATATTCTCTGCTTGCTTTCTTCTCAGAGATCACTTGAGTCAATCTGTTTTGGCAGCATCCTTATTTCCCCCCCTTATAGTCTAGGTAGGATTACAGAGAAAAGCAAAGTAAACATCAAAGCGATCAAATCTCCCAGTGACTAACTCATAAAAATACCAGTAACTACAACACCTGAATGCTGAGGATTTCCTCTCAAGCAGCTTGCTCGCGTTCAGTTATGCAGAACAGGGAAGGGTAAATATAGAACGTATCTCTGTGCACAGGAGCGGCACAAACAGGCAGTTTTATCTCTACTAGACAGCTTCAGTATATAACCCACACTTTCTGCACCCTTTCCCTTACCTACTCACCTTCAGAGATATCTTAAATCCTGACACAAGAATCAGTAAATATTATAGAGTCCCAACTTTTATTTTGTTGAAGTGCTACTCATTAAGGACATGTATTCCACTAGAGATCCAGAGAATTCTATAACCCCACTTTCCCTTTTTTAAAGTTTTTTTTCCTCATTAAAGTTCTGTAAGTACCAAGTAAAAACATGATTCTTTTTAAAATGTTCTTAATTTCATAGCTATCTTCCTCCTCTTTTCTGTTGTTCATTTAAGAGTAAGCACTTCAGAACACAGATTGGCTCTCTATGCACGAATCAACATTCAAATGAATTAGCATTCAGCTCTGATGAAAATCTGAAGAGCCGAAGGAATTATTTACTGTGCCAAAAGATGGAAGACTCACATTTTAACTTAGATTTGAAAAGCCACATGCCTTGATGTTTCAGCTTGTATCATGCCATTAATGATTTTATTTTATGCTGTAATTTAAATCACAAGTTCCAACTTGCCAATTACTCTTTATGCCATGTAAATCATAGTGCCACAATCCCGTTTTCTACAGTCTCACAATTATATCATCTTTTGGATAATATATTTTTGGATAGTGAAATATGTTAACAGTCAAATGCAAGATTTTAAAGAGGACAGTTCCACTACTGTAGTGAGCAGCATTACTTTCTTCTATTTACAGTAAGAAATTAATTTAAACCATGGGTAAACCATGGCAGATGTGGCACTGAAATAATGACCCTAAGAGAATAAACACAAATCTAACTTGAAAATGTAAGTTAGTTTTACATGAACACCAGCTACTTACAATTTTCGTGATCATGAATAAAAGCATAGGTCTACTGAGAACACCCCACACAAAAATTCAAAAGTCTGCCTTACATAAAACAATGCCCAAAACCTCACAAACAATTCAGACATTTTATTTTCATTCTTCTAATATCCTCTACCAAATTTTAGATCTTTTCTACCAAGAGCACAGATACTGCATAATTTCTCGGAGACTGAGAATGAATTTGCAGCAACATTCCTCTTCCCAGAAGCAAGTTTTCATCTGATTCATTTCGGATTTTCCCTTTTTACTACCCACAAAGCAAATCCTGTCACCCATTCATCTGTGTAACACAGATGAGGGTCAAGAGAACTCATGGAAACAGAACATGTAGACAAAGTCACCATCCTACATCTGTAAAGAACAGATTTATATTGTTGCGTAAAGGCTCATGTCATTTTTATAGCACCGTACATCCTTCTCTATGGATGCCAGACAATGGTCATCAGAAAGTCACTGTTTCAATGTGGCCACCTGGTTTCTTTGGGACCTTCTGTGTATGAAAAAAGAAACAACTGTCAGATAGGAATTGCCACGCACAACATCACTCTGACCCAAAACTGACTGTCTTCAGAACCTGCTGAAATTAAGACTTCTCCAGACCCACCCTGTACCAAGCACTGAAACGTAGCATACTAACCAGCCAGGTAGAAAGCAACATTGTAACTTTATTAATTAATGCACTGGGACAATAGGGGCTCCTGAAAAGTCTGAAGTCTGTCTGTCATGCTTACACCTAACTACTTGACCATACTGTTAGCACAAACAATACTTAGAATCATGATGTAATGCTGCTAGAAACTCAGCTAAAAATTGTCATGTTATTTAAAAGTTGAATGTTACAAAAAAGTTATTGAAAAGCAGTTCAGGGATAATAGTGTCACTGGCCCTGTTAGCTCAGATTGCAGTTTATAACTACACACAAAATAGAGAAGAATGTTGAGAAGATTATGGTGTCTACCAACGTTCCTCCTCTAAAGAAGGGCTCAAGTTGAGACAAAATTATCTTCTTATAGCAGTTTTACACACCAATTTTATACAGGCAGGATGCCCTAACCAGACATTAAATCTTCTTCTTCCTGTACTTTGAAACTATAGTTCCACAGACTGCTGAATCAGTATTATAATGCTGGTATTTCTGTTAATAGGAGGTGCTCTTACTTCTCTTTTCCACCTTGTTTTCAACTCTTGTCTCCCTGTTCTCAGTTGTATAGTCTTGTGTATGCCTTTACAACAGCTCTCGCACTAATTGTCTTCTCATGACCTGATTTTGCTCAGTAAACCTGCTGAAAACCCCTTTTTCTCATCTCCTAGGAATTTAAATCAGTGATTTCAACAGGTATAATACTAAGTTAGAATAGAATAGAATAGAATCATCCTTTAGATGGCCAGATGCCAGAGACAGAGTAAGGTAAGGAGAAGCGTATTTGTATGGCTAGCAGTGGGAGGGAATGCATGTGGAAAAAGGGCTGTTGCAGGAAGGAACAGGAAAAACTTCAGCTGTGTTGAGTTGTTAAAGCAACCCACCATATTTCATGAAACTGTAGTGCTTGTAGCCACCACACAATACAGTGCTAGTTAGGGTGCTGACTTTGCTCTTTGTGTAGATCTGGATAATTGTTCAGTTTCCTAGAAAGTACAGGTACACATGTAGGGAGTGCAGCTATACAGACACGAGAGAATCTTAAAAAAAAAAAAATTAGTGTGTAGTCACCTGCTCATAAATAAAGCTGATAACAGCATTAGATAGTCCGTCTGATTCGAATTACTAACCATAACTTCATTACAGAACACAGGGTAATGCCCATCTTTAGTAAAGTAGCACTCATATTCAAGAAATCAGCAGCTTTTCTGCCCACTCAAGCTTCCCTCTGAATCTGCTAGTGAACTGTCAGAAAAGAAAGACAGAGGAAACAAAGCAAAAGATAAAACAGAGATATAGGTAAGGAAAAACAAAACAAAACCAAACCCCACAAAAAACCAAAAGAGCAGAAAAGGATGTTCTCTTTAAAGGAAGAACTAAGTCATCAAGATCTGGGAAAATGAGGATAAAAAGGCAATACTGTGTACACGCACAGAGTCTGATACTCCATTTTCAACTTGTGAATAAAATATTAAGTGAACAAAGATGGCGATATTGAAATTTACAAAACACAAACATAATGATTTGTTTTACTTGTGCATTAATCTCATCTTTCAGACTTCTCTTTTTTTAAAACCAAATGTTGCTGAAACTGGCGATTAAAGCCAGCGAGACTATAAGCAGAAGGAATGGAAAGTGGCAGGCAACACAATCGTGTATGCCTTAAAGAAAACAGTCTCAAAGATCTTTTGGTGTTATGGAAATTGAAAAAGGCAATTGAAGTTTATCCACTAGAGAACATTATCCAGTCTTCCTCACCAGAAGCTCCTTGAAGAAAGATTTTAGCCAGTACTGCAGGACCTAACTGGTTTCGCTCTTTTTGGAGCTCATCAGCTGCAGGTAACGGCTCAAAAAACAAAATGCATGCACACAAACACAAACAGAGCAGAACATTTTGCTAAAGGAAGAAGTCTTCTGCATTGTAAGGCATGCTTTTATAATATAAGCGCATTTTTTCTAAATGGTTGCCTCTTGTGTATCGAATGAAAAGTGACAACGAAGTGTTCTTTCACACCAGAAATTAAGAGTATTTTGCTAAAAATCAAATATTATTTTCCTCCCTAAAAATTATCATGGTATCTGTATTCTGCTAACTCTGGCAGAAAAATATGTTTAGTACTGCTGTCTTGGGCAACCTAACCATGTTAAATATTTGAATATAGATCTTATCCAATTAAGGCCATCTTAATTTAGAAGTATGACCTACAGTTAACAAATACACTAGGCAACAAAATGCTTCACTCTATGAGAACAGCAATGAAAGTCCTGTTAATCTCTCCTTGACTTCATTTAATCTTCAAATTTATCAAAAGTCAGAAGGTAACATACTAAGGTTTAGTGGAGTCACCTGAAGTTTCAAATGATGGTGCACATCTGTTAAGAACTTAAAAAATTTGCAGTAATTAACAAGTAAGGCCAAGATTTTCCTCAATTATGTAAACCAGTAAAGAAGTGAGAACACATGCACAGTAAGATAGAACAAAATCACTGGAACTTAAATTTTGGCAAGATCACTCAGTGTTCTATCAACCTTCTTTGAACAGTAGAGAATAGAGACAAAAAGCACTAGGAGGTAAGATGACAATAGTATTTAGCTACAATGTGTAGTATATGGTCAGAGTCCACCCTGAATTTGTTAAGCAGTCTGACTTCCAGAGGCCACACACAGCCATGTGACTTAGGAGTTCATTAAAACTGTTTTGGAACCTTTTCCTAAACAAAGTCCTAAAGAGCTCCTTAAGTTATAATCTATTGTCTCCGAGTAATCTGCACAAATAGTTAGATAAGAGCTAAAAACTGCTGACTGCATTTTTCAGAAGGGGTAATTAGTAGCCAGCGTTCACTAAAACCTCAGAATAAAGCAGGATCATATGACCCTAGAAGATAAAACAAGCCAATACTGTAGTAGAGTGAATACTTTTCTGAATCCCTACTACAGCACTTGAAGCTGGAGGCAACTGCATTTGAAATTTCTGTATTTAAAAACTGTAAGAAAACAAAGTCAGATTAAGCTAAACAGTGCTCAAATCCGTGAGAGCAAAAATACCTTTAAACAGCCCATGGACATCAAAAGTGTTTACTACTGTGCATCAAAAATAGTTTTAAGAGCAGAAGCTAAATAACTGGCAACATTTCCAATTATATTTCGACTGCATGGCAGATGTTAATCGTGCTCAACTGCAGCAAAGCTCTCATAATGCCAATTAACTAGAGAAGTTTGAATGTCTTATTTAGTACACATGAAATAGGAACTGGAGTTCTTAATGTGCAGAGAGGTGAATTCACAGTATGCAACGTAGAGACTCGAGCTGCAATCTAATAGAAATTTCAGTACTACCCTTTCCATGCACAGAAGAAAGAAAAGTGATCTTAAATGCAATAATAAAGCCTTTACATCTTATTTCAAGCTTTATAAACTATTTTCAGTTATTCTTCCAAGCATGTATTCCACACAGTCTTTTGAAAAAATGAACCTCAACTTTACACAAAACTTTTAAAAATAGGAAAATCAGAAAATCCTACATACAATCCATACAGTCTCCACTTCTTTTTTCTTCTTTGACTATTACCTACCTTCTTTTTAGAGGAAGATGCACAGGATAGCAGAAAGCTGGAAGAAGCAGTGAAAGATAAAAGAGTTGAGATGCATAGAACTAGAGAAAAAATGAAGATGACAAAATGAGTATCTGAGAAGCAGAAGATGGGAAAAAGGACTACCACTATAAAATCTTTCAAAAGAAGGCAAATAAAGTACATTTCAGTAACAAAAATACTCAGCAAGCCATGTTAATTTTTTTAATTTCTGTATGCAGTGCTACTTGAAAATAAAAAAATGTTTAATAGGACATGCAATCTTCAATGCACTGATCAAAAATGAATAGCTTATTACAACATGATTTCTTTCTAAAATGTGTAAAATCTCCAAATTAGAAGAATCACAAGCTTCATAAATATTTACAGTAAAAGTAATCCAGAAACATATAAACAGCAGAAAAAGCACCTTCAAATAATCTTGTGAAAAGCTAGCACGTCAATGCTAAAGTGATTCCGCTACTGTACAACCTGAAACTCCACTTAGCAACTTCAAACTTTGTGACACCTGCTGCTTGGAGTCTACATTTTTTTCACTGCTCTGAACCCTATGCCCTACCCTTGAAGACTTACCTCTTTCTTCATGTTCACCAACTTAGAGGGAAGCTGAAGGGTAACTCATGAACTTGCTTCCCTAATCTCAACAGATTACAGAAAAGTACTATGCAATTCAGTCAAGTATTGTGAGAAGCTTGTGAAAATCCTCAGGAAATCCTTATGTGAGTATGTAAGTAAGCTATGAAAGTTGGTAAGCTATGAGAGTGTTTACAAAAAGGGAATTATACTTTTATATTCTTAATTCAGCTAGTTTTTACTTACATGTCATGTACTTACGTATTCAATACCTTAACAACAGACTTGGGCGCTGAACAAGCACTATGATCTATATTGTAAACTAATTCTCAAATTGGTTCCTCATTTTTAGTGAATGAAGTATGAATTCTTAAACACAAAGGCAAACACAGTATGTATGACATTGCATTTATGTGATTCACAGGCTGCTTCTGATCTTATGTCACCTCTTCCAGTTTTAACTAGCCACTCCCTTCCCAGTTGTTCAGTTTCTTCCCCAGCCAACCCAACTGAGTGCAAAGTATGGTACTGGTCACAGACACAGAAGCTAGAGTCATAGAATCATAGAATAGTTTGG